CGTTCTGACCGCCCGCAAGAGGAACCGCTCCATAATCTTCCCCAGCACCGAGGTCCGGCTGACAGGCCTGTAGTTCCCCGGATCCTCCTTCCAGCCCTTCTTGTAGATGGGCGGCACATTGGCCAGCCTCCAGTCATCAGTTCTCCTCCAAACAAGCCCTGCCTTCTCAGTGCAATAATTAAGGTTCTGACCCTAAGATGACTTCTGCTGATGACAGCCCATCCCCCCGCACCTTCCTCCAAGTCAGTGCAGGCTCAGCAGTTTTCACTACATGACCTGAGTTACTGCTCTGGAAAAACAGGCTTTATTGTCCTAAGGAGAAAAGCAAAATCCTGTGACAAAATACAGCACAGCAGAACTTTGCCCATGTGTTTATTCTGCATTTGTATTCCCTTAAAATCTGGGGCAGCTTGTTAAATGTAATTTGCATTATCAAACACCTGGGAATCCTGATTATAGACCAGGTCCCTGCTGAGCCTGATGCCATGCAAGCACTGAACAATACCACGAACTCTTTGCAGGCACAGAACTTTGATTAGATGAAATACGGATTCGCGCTGCTCAAAAACAACTGGCTGCTGTCACATTTCAGTTCACTGGCTCTTTCCATTGTAAAGCAGCAGAGCACGCTGGAGAACAGTGCTTTGACAGCTGAGCTCTGTGCAAACATTTCCTCTGTCCTAGGATGTGCATAACCAGCATGTTTGTCCTGCACTGCCTACCCTTCAGGCACAGGGCTGTCAAAAAGATGGTATGTGGCAAGTGAGTGTCTGGCTTACAGACATTTTGCAAACCAAGGCTCCCGCCAATGTTCTTCATGGTCCAGAGCTTACCACATACTTACCAAATCCAGTGCTGAACCTCCTCCTAGGTACTCCATGATTATCCACAGCTTGGTGCCCTGCAAGCAAGAGCACAAATCAAGAGCAAAGAGAGTAATAAAAGCAGGCAGAAAAGTTAAACACCCCAGAGGCAGCAAGACATATGAGTAGTCCTGTACACAATCCAAGAGATGCTGCACATCGCAGCTCTCAGAGGCTTAAGGAGGGAGCTCTGAGCTCCCCCTTTCCTGCGGCACCGGCATTAGAGCGGGTA